TATATATATATATAAAATCTGAAGTATATGACTTGAGTGTAAAAACTGAATATGAGAGTAACAGATGATACTTGAAAGAGACTCGAGAAGGAGCAATAATTAGATTAGATTAGAGCATTTATTTCAATTTAGTAGAATTAGCTGTTAAACCGATGTTTTTTGAGCCAAGCTAAGTATGAACAGCACCTTTCCTTACAGATTCTGTATCTTTACAGACAGTTAAACCCTGTATCACCTGTAAAATGGGAATGATAGTTGTCAAAAGAATTGTTGTGAGGATTAAATACATATGCTGAAGAATTATTACAAAGATTAAATCCATAAAAATGAGGACAGATGACGCAGCAGTGGTTCAATACAAGGCTGCATTACTCAAGAAGACTACAGGTTCTTGTTTGGAGGCCTCCCTGTACACTACAGACAGGCATAAGAGCCCATGATTCAGGCTGACAGAGGCTGGAGGTGGACTGTGGTTTAAAGACCCTGTTGTGGTGTTTCCTTTCCTCTCTCTCTTTCTGTTTGTATTGTTGTAATTCAGGAAAAAAGTCTATGTTATTGATGTTCTGAGTAAGTTTTAAAGAGCTCAATAAAAGGTAATTTTTTTTCAGCCCCACTCCAGTGAAAATTACTAGTAGAACCCTGAGTTAGCATGTTCTCTCCTTTGATAGGAACTAAAAGACTCATCTGTTCATTTAGATTCTTTTCATGTTACCAGCTTCAGTTTGTTTCTGTTGTCTTGCACCTCCCAGCCTTTCAGTACATGGAGACACAGGCTTAGATTTTATTATAATTCTTAAATTCAGGGCAAAAATATAGATATACTAGAAACTTTATCAATTTATAACTATTTAATGAATATGTCACTGTTTCTCTTAAAACCTAAGTGCTAAAACATTAAATATTTCCTGTGGTCAATTTAATAATCATAATTTCATGATTAATACTTTAACTCCTTAAATTTCAGAATATTTTCATAAAATGTTAAAACATTCAAATCGTTGGATTAGATACATAACCACCAATATTTTTGAAGTTGATGGTGTTAATGTCCTTAAAATTATTCAGAAATTTAATTTTGTTTCCAAATTTTCTTTTTTATATACTTTTCTTAAATACCTATAAGTCCTATAGGTTTTAAATTCCAAATATATTTCATGTCTATAACGAGTATTTACCTTAACTTTAATCATTTCATGTACTGGTATTTTTATTTTTTTAAATTTAACTGCTTAATATCTCTTGTGATTTTCCTGTTTCTCTGTTGCCACAGTCAAGTCTACTTTATATGAAATATGTGAAATTATAATTTGTACACAACTATGAAATAATTTCACTCCCTTGCTCCCTTGCTTAGAACTTTTCAATAATTTTCCATTACCCAAATGCTTACAATATCCTAAAATGCAATGTAATTTGACTAGTTTCCTTCTGCATCATCTTCTTACATCTCTCTTCATGGCAGCCACGTTCTCTGGAAATTTCAATGAATCATTCTCCTAATGGCCTCTGAACATACTCTGAACTTCTCTCATTTTAGAACATTTGTAACCCTATTTTTACTAGATAGCTTATAGTCCATCCTCAGATATATGCTAAAATGATACTTACTCAGAGAATTTTTTCTTTATCTCAGTCTTTTATTAGTCCTTATTATTTCTGGTTTACACATATGCATGGTATATCTTAGTAGGTACAATGTGATTTTTCAAAGCATACATACATTGTATACAGTATAGACATATCTGTCTTCAACATTGAACATTACCTTATGGAGCACACATTTGGTAAAAGATCTACAACATTTTTTTTTTTTGGAGATAAATATTGAATTTCATTTGAAGACATTTTTCACTCCATGTTCTTCCATTATGTATTTCATTTGTGTACATGCATTCCTGTATATGTTAATCATTTTGTCTATGCTCCGCTGCTCCACCCAATCCCAGTGGCTGTGCAGTTTCTGACATCCACCATTACTCCTTTAGTTCACTACAATAAAGTCCTTCAGTTTACATCACAGAGTGCCATCAGTATGTTTTAAGTGGTGCTATACAGTTATTTATCTTTCCTAGACTGCCTTATTTCACTCAGCAATATGTCTTCTAGGTTCACTCATTTTATGTCAAACAGCAGTCTATAATCCTTTATAACTGTTTATATATGCCACATTTTCTTATAGTATTCATTGGTGGTTGGGTACTTAGGTTGATTTCTTGTCTCAGTTACTTTTTTTTTTTTTAAGAGAGATTTTTGCTATAGGGTATGTGCACAACCGGAGAGACAGAAAGTGAGAAATCAATCTCAAAGTGGGGATGGTCATACAATAATCACTTCTTCTCTTCGGACCTTGGGCACACATGCCTGGCATGAATTTTAAGCAGCCAAGTAAAGGACTCAAACTGTGATTAAGTATGTGAGAGTGTAGTGACATGACTGGTATACCAACTGCTGCTCTCATGTCTCAGCTACATTGAATAATGAAGATACACCACACAGAATCGGGGAAAAAATTACAAATTATACTTAAGATAAGGGATTGTTAACCAGAATATATAAGGAATTTAAATACTTCACTCCAGAAAAAAAAATGCTAGTAATCTAATCAATGAATGGGCAATCAATCTGAATAGACAGCTCTCGAAGCAAGATATACATATGGCTAAGAATTTATGGAAGTACGTTCAACATCTCTTCCTTCAGTCTTGAAGTAGTTTTAATATCGTTCATAGGCACAAAGCAGTTTTTTTTATTAATAGTAATAAGATTCTATAATTATTCTTTCTTTTTCTTTTAAAATAAAAAATAATATTATATGTACTTAGCAGATACAGCAAAATGTTTTGAAGTATATATGCTTTGTGAAATAGTTCAATTCCAATAATTACAAAATTCCTAACATCAAATATTTATCATTTTAAAAATGAGAGTACTAAAAATTCAGTCTTGATGTGTTTCAAGAATATGTCATCATTACCTACAATCAAACATGATGATAATTTTAACTTATCCCACGTTTCTTTTTTTTTTTTTTTTTGAGAGGTTTTTCACTATAGGACGCGTGCGCTCACCAGACAGACAGAGACAGAGAGACAGAAAGCAAGAAATCATCCCCCCAGGGGGGATGGTCATGCTGCAATCCCTTCTCCTCCATTCTCCTCATTCTCCTCTCGAGATCTTGGGCACGCACACACATGCGTCCGGCGTGAGTTTTAAGCCACCGGGTCTGGGACACGAACCGCGGTCCACTACATGGAAGTCCAGCGACATAGCCATTATGCTAACTGCTGGTTCCCAACTTATCCCACGTTTATAACTGCAATAAAACATTCTTTGATTGGGGTCGACTGGTGGCATGGTAGTTAAGGGCACTGGACTCCCACATGGCCAACTGTGGTTCAAGTCCCAGATCTGGCAGCTTTCTCTCTCTCTCTCTCTCTCTCTCTCTCTCTCCCCCCCTCTCTGGGGAAGTTAAAAACAAATAAATAAAGTTAAATAAGATAATTCTTTAAAAAAAAGAAAAAACATTATTTGATTAATATCTCCCCATTTATCCTTCTCTCTGTAACCATTCCAGCTCCTAGTAACATCAATTCTACTATCTAGTTTAATTTTAATTGATTCTTGACACCACAATGGATTGTGATCTACATGAGAAAAATTTTATGTCAGTTTTGGTTACAGTTAGATCACATTTAACTAAAATAAATAGACAAATTTTTGTGCTTTCAGGCAATAAATATCAAAGTGAATATACAAAAAACAAATATCAGATAACACTCACTTTTTCATATATATCAGAAAAGTTTCTACACTTTAAATAGTATTTAGAAAGAACACTGCATACAGAAAAGCAAATAAGTCCATTAACTAAACATGTGTAAAATCTGTGAAAACGATGGTAGTCTGAAAAGTTTCATGAATTGTGTATCACTTCAAGAAGTAGAGGCTGCCATATGAGGTTTTCTAGCCACAGTGTAATTTTATAAATTTCCATTCAGAGAACCATGTCAATCTTTCCTGGCCAATTGCCCACATCAGAGATTAACTTCCACTTCTGTGTTTACATAAAAGACGGACAATGCCATATTGAATTTGTTTAGTCTTGATGCTGTAGATAATAGGATTCATTAAAGGTGGAAAGAGAAAATAGACATAGCTCAGGATAACGTGGACCACCTCTGGCACGTGCTTTCCAAATCTATGGATGAACGATAGACCAATCACTGTCACATAGAAGATGAGAACACAACCAATGTGGGAGAGACAGGTATTGAGAGCCTTAGCTCTCTCTTCACCAGCAGCAATGCCCATGACTGTCTTAAGAATTAGTATATAAGAGAAGAAGATGATCAGAGAGTCCAAGAAAACTGTTAAACCAATCAGGATTACAGGATACAGTTTATTGAAAGTTATGTCAGCACAAGCTAGTTTCATGACCTCTTGGTGAAGGCAGACAGCATGGGCGAGAACATGAGAGTGACAATATGGAAATGTAAAAAGACGCAAGATTACAGGCATTATGGATATAAAACCTCTCATAAAAACTCCCACCCCTAATTTTACCACTCTAGAATTGGTAAGAATGGAAGTGTATCGCAAAGGATTACGGATGGCAATGAAACGGTCATAGGCCATTGCAAGCAGAATACCTGATTCAACAATAGAAAGGGAGTGGATAAAATAGGCTTGCAAGAAGCAGCCCCCATGGCTTATCTCCCTGAGATTCACCCATAAGACACCCATTACAGTAGGCATCGTGGTCAGTGTCACCACCAGATCTGTGCCCGCCAACATAGCCAGGAAATAGTACATGGGTTCATGGAGATGATGGTCATCTTTGATGAGGTAGAGGAGAGTGCCATTGCCAAGAAGGACAGAAATATAGACCACAGAGAAGGGGATGGAGATCCAGTGATGAGCTGCCTCCAGTCCTGGAAAACCACTCAGCAAGAAGGGGGCAGCACTAATGTTGGGCCACATAGTTCATTCACAAGTGGAGAGAACAGGTTTCTAGAAAATTATGTACTCCAAAACTTAGTTATTTCAGTTTGTAGTACCTGTTCATAGAAATATAATACATCAGCCTCAATAATTACAGAGAATTCATATATGTCTGATTCTGTGACATTTTCTATGAGTATATTTATAGGATATGCAAGAAATCGGAAATGATGATCTTTTCCTGAGTTGTATGAACATTTATGTAACTAAAGTATTCTCAATTAAAAACACATTTTTACAACATATGCCCATTGAAATGGCATACTAGAAAATGTTTAAGTGATGATAGTAACAAAAAAATTGCAGATCGACACTAATAGATAATAATTTTTAAATAGAATTTCAGTTAGTTTGATTGTAGGTTTTATGGATACACTTAAACTTGATTTTAATTTTATATCACCATCATGGTAGATATCATTTGCTTTTCTTAATTTGATTTTGAAATTAGGCATCAAAATTTTATAAAACCTGATAAAGTCCGTGAACCCTCTTTGGAGATAAATGAACAATATCAGACAAGGACACATTTAGTCTAAAAGCACTGAGTTCTCTTGAAGTTCATTCAAGGGCTCCTCATTAGATACTCCAAACCTGCTTTGACATATCCACTAAAATGAGCAAGTCTATGCTGTAGATATTGGCCACTCCAGGTGCAATTTCTCCCACTATGCAGACCTCAGGAAAAGCTTTCTGTCTTCTAACTGCAGGTAGCATGCCAGAGGAGAGAAGTTACTCTTTCTGTCTGTTCTTGCACTTACCCTCTTCAAAGTCTTGCTGTTGGAATCTAGACCTGCTGCTCTGTTGAAGACAGTCCAGACACTTCCTTCTTAAAGACTATTCAAGAAGTTAGCCTAGAGATTTTATATGTATGGAGAGCTCTTCCCCAGAGTTTTATATTCCCAGACACTAAGAAGACTCCTTGACCCCCCCTTTCTCCTCTTCACTGTCTGGGGAGAGCCGGGCCATACTCATTCAATGTCTTCAAGCCTTTCAGATAGTTCCCCAAGGATGGGTGAGAAAATAGCAAAGTCAAGAGTTCCATGATTGTGGAGTTGCCAGGTCTTAATTATGTGATTCCCCCAGGATCCTCAGCGTCAGGACTTAGTCAATTCAGACATGAATTTTCATTGTCTCACTCAAAGGTCAAAGCGATTCCAGTTACTTTTGAGGTTGCATGTACTTTAAATGGTGCTGGAGTGTATGAGTTTCAATTGTGTTTTTGCCTTTCCAGTTTATTTGGAGAAAAATTATAAACATCAGTAGTTCCACAACGTAGATGTAAATGAAGGACTCATATTTTATCTTAACATCTCCCTTTATATATTTAGATCATTGCTTGTTTTTTGCCAGTTCACAGTGATAGGATGGGAGTTTATAATCTGATAGTCATCATTTGAAGGTCATGTTGGCTGCCGTTATGAGCCCATTGAAAGGGGAAGAAGTATAAAGAGTGTCAAGAAAAGTAATGCACATGAAAAATTGTGTAAAGCGTCTGTGCTATCAATGTTTCGTGTAGGTATTATTAGCAGAGTTAGATCAAAGTGAGTGGAAGAGAAAGTCTATGTCTTAGAAGAGAACTGGATGTTTAATTGAAGTATTAGGTTAAGGAGATGAGATTTGCCTTTGTGGTTTAGCCAAGTAGAGAATAGTTCCACTTACTTACATAGAGACCACAGGAAGAGAATGCTTTATTCACTGATCCATAAATATTTGTTGATTGATTGTATTGCATTAAGTACAACTACTCATACTGGAACTGAAAAAAGGAAGAGAATCAGTTTCACAAATCTGTGTCTAGAAATGTTCAAAAACAGGTGTTACTTTTAGGCAGTTATACATACACACACACACACACATATATATATATACGCACACAAATATATGTGTATATATATATATATCCATGTGTGTATACATAAATGTGTCTTGAGTGTAGAGAATGAATGAGAGCTAGAGACTTGAGAATAACTGATAATTAGATAAAATTAGATTAAAACATTTATATCCAGATACTAGAATTAGCATTTAAGAACACGGGTTAAGAACATGGGTATTGAGCAGAATTGAGTGTGAATGCCATCTTTCCTTACAGATTGTGTGTCTTTACAGACACCTTAACTTCCTCACCTGGAAAATAGGATTAATTGTTGAAAGGATTGATGTGAAGATTAAATCAATATACTGTAGAACTATTGCAAAGATTGAATCAATTAATTTATGTTCGAGCTTAGCACAAGGTTTGGCAAATATTAGGTTCACAATAAAAATGGGGCCAGGTGGTGATACAACAAGAATACAAAGCCCAGGAATAGCAGTTGGCATAATATCTACATCACTGGAATCCCACGTAATTGACTGTGGTTCGAGTCCCAGACCCCATGGCTTAAACTCACACCGGGTGCATGTGCGTGCTTGCTCAAGATCCCGAGAGGAGAATGGAGGAGAAGGGAATGTGGCATACCCATTTCCCCGGGGGATGATTTCTTGCTTTCTGTCTCTCTGTCTCTCTGTCACTTTCTGTCTTTCTGGCGAGCACATGTGCCCTATAGCCAAAACCTCTCAAAAAAAAAAAAAAAACAAAACTCTACAAGGATGAACCACATCAGAGGTTCTGGTCTTGTTTTGAGGCCTCCCTGTACACTGCAGGCAGGCATGAGAACCTGTGATTCTGGCTGGTTGAGGCTTGAGGTAGACTGTGGCATGAAGATCCTGTGGTGGTGGTCCTCTCTGTCTCTCTCTGTGTTGGTGTCATTGCAATTCAGTAAAAGGTCTATGCTATATCTTTGTTCTGGGTAGGGGGTCAAAGAGTTCAATAAGGGGCCAACAGGTGGCATGATTGTTAAGGTGCTAGACCACCCCACATGGCTGGCTGCAGTTCAAGTCCCAGAACCTGTGCCTTAAAAATCACACCAGATGTTTGTACATGCATGCTGAAATTCCAGAGAGGAGAATGGAAATCAAGGGATTGTAGCATGGTCATCCTCCCTGGGGGATGATGTCTCAAGTTACCTCTGTCACTATGTCTCTCTCTATCTCTCGGTCACTCTCTCTCTGTCTCTCTAGTGAGGAAAACTTGCCACATGGCCAAACTCTTTAAAAAACAAAGAATGGAGTTTAATAGAAAGATAGTTTTACATCTTTTTTTTAACTCACTCCAGTGAAAATCACACACTAGAAATGCTGATTTGGTGTATTCTCTCCTTCAATGGGAATTCAAAGACTCATTTTTTTCTTTTAGATTCTTTTGGTGTCAACACCTTCAGTTTGTTTCTGTTTCCTGTAGTTCCTAATCTTTCAGTACATATAGACACAAGCTTAGGTTTTACTCCAATCCTTAAAAATAAGGACAAGAATATAGGCATACTAGAAACTAAATTAATGTATGACTATTTAATGAATATGTTAGTGTTTGTCTTAAAATCTCAATACTAAAGCATAAAATATTTCCTTTAGTCAATTCATTAGGCACAATTTCATAATTATACTTTCACCCCTTCTTAAATTTCCAGAATATTTTCATAAATTTTAAAATATTCCAATTAATTAAATTCATAACCAAAAATATTTTTGAAGTCAATGGTGCTAATGTTCTTAAAATTATCCAGACATTTAATATTATTTATGTTTCCAAACTACTTTTTTTATATAGTTTTATAAAATATCTGAAAATCCTATATTTTAGATCCTAGATCATCTAATGTCTATACATTGTATTTGTCTTCATTTTAATGATTTCAGGTACTGGTATTTCTTTATGGACCTGATACAATATCTCTTGTGATCTTGTTCACCTCTTGCCACCATCTAATCTACTTTATGTAAAATATCTGAAGTTAAAATTTGGAAACAGCTATGAAATTTTGTCCTTCTCTTGCTTAGACCTTTTCAAGAGTATTCTGTTACTCTGTGTAGACACCCAAGTGTTTATTATGGTCAATAATATGTTACAAAATTTGACCTGTTTCCTTCTGCAGCATCATCTTCTAAGTATCATTCTCTTCATGTCAGCCACATTCTTTGGAATTTTCCATGAATCATTTCTTTATGGCCTCTGAACATACTCTGAACTCTGCTTAGAACATTTTTACTTCTATTTTCACCAGTTAATTTCTAGTCCATCCTCAGACATATGCTGAAAAGACACTTCCTCAGGGAACCTGTCCTTTGTCTCAGTCTTTTTTTTTTTGTCATTGTGATTTCTGGTTTACATATACTCATGCTACACCATGGTAAGTACAGTATGATGTTTAAAATATGCATACATTATGTACTTTATAGACATAATCATCTTCAACATTAAACATAATATTATGTTGCATATATTTAGTATTACTTCAGCTAGGCATTTTAATTTTTGAAATATACATTGAATTTCACTGACATTTTTTACTTTGTGTGATACACT